CTAAGTACAGTGTAGGGAAATGTTCACAGTGAGGTGCAGAAGAGAAGAAATACAGAGATCCCTCCTAACTTGGATGATTAGGAGACTCCAAGGAGAAGGTAGCATTTATGATGTGTTGGATAAAGGATAAAAATTCATTAGGAAGAACGATGGAAGTCAATACTTCAGTTAGATGAAATGGATCGAGCAGGGATAGAGAAGTGAAGGTTGTGATCAGATGAACTTCATAGGCTAGACTAAAGCATGAGGTGGTAGTAATGGCAGATAAAGCGAAAAAATTACATAGCAGACTATGGAAATTTTGGAGTACCAAGCCGTTTTGTTGTAAGTTAGGAGTCAGTACATTTTCTCATCATTACCCATTTTGTTTACACAATTTTTTATAAAAGTGTTTGTTTTGGATCTGGGTTCAAATTTTGCTTTGCCTACCACTTACTAGCTATGTGACATCAGGAAGCTCATTTAACTTGAGCTTCAGTTTCCTCTTTAGGGAAACTGACACACAGTTGTGAAAATTACTTCACAGTTGTGAAAAATACTTCACACAGTTGTGAAAATTAAATAAAATAAGAGCATGCAGTACAACACCTAGCATGTAGTGGGCAACTATTTTTTGGAAATTAAATATTTATTGCTAATTTGAAGTATATTATGCTTTTGTGGCAACACTTTGAAGATTTTAATTCCTTAGACTATATTTTGGTTTTTGAAGGTCTTGAATCTGTCACCCTGATGGCGTTCTGATTTACTCATCTTCACAAAATTTAACAGCTACCATTACCTCCTCTTCTATGCTCTTCTGTACCTGAGAAAGAAGACATAGTTTATGCCATGGTTTTGTGTATATGTTGTTTGATCTTCTAACCCAGCTCTTCTCTAGTGGAGACTCCAGGGACCTGTTGGCTAATCTGATTTAAGAATCCCAGTATGTGGCCCCACCACCCTGCTTACAAATTTTCTCATTATGCTTTGATGAATTCTTAGCTACAAGAGGGCAAGTACTTAGCCTGGTATTCCAGGATCACCATAATCTGCTGCTATATCTGTTTTTTGTTTTGTTTTGTTTTGTTTTGTTTTGTTTTGCTTTGCTTTATCTACCATTGCAATCTAATGCTGTAATCTAGCCTAAGAGGTTTACTCAACATCTCAGATCACAACATGCCTGCTACCTTATTAGTTGTATTTGGTTTGAGAGATAGAATCCAACTCTGATTAAAATTAGGAAAAGATCCCATGCCCAGGTGAGGGTTCCAGATTTGAATCTTTATTACATTTACTTATTAGCTTTGTAACCTTGAGCAAGTTATTCATTGCCTGTCTCAGGACTTTGTGGTGAGACTCAAATGAATCGAGTATAAAGGATTATTAACATTGAACTTCAGTAAAAATATTAACTATCCATTTCAAAGATAAATAATTTTATTCTGATATTTTAATGGAAGCTCAGTAAATTTACTGATAAAAATCAGCTGAAATTAGTAATTATACTAGTAATTTTTTATATTAGTCTTAGTAATTTTTACACTTACTGTTTTATGCCTTAGATAATTATCTGAACAATATTTCAGAAACATTTGAAACATGTACAAATGAGTTATAAATGTTCATGACAAAATATTAAACCTTTTTTGCACTGGAAGGATTCTTATGGGTTGACACAATGTCAATTGTAAAAAAAGGCTGGGGAGATTGCATATACTTTGAAAATTGCCTTCTTTACTTCTGCATAGAAGCTATTTGTCAGCTTTAAAGGAGACATTCATATTTTTCCTCTTATTCTTAATTTGATTTCAGAAGGGCTTGTGCATCCCTCTTATCACACCATAGATAACCCCAAGGTTTAGAATGGCACTCACATATTGTGGGATATATGGAAATGAAGAAAGCAATTTCACCAATGTAAAAAGGGCATTGGACCTGTGTCCTTGCCTCTGGCATTTACTAGCTGTGTGTCATGAACAGGCTTTCAACGTTTCTTTTTTGACTTTCTCATCCCACCCAGCAGAAATTTCTCACCAGTTTATTAAATTTCTCACCAGTTGTAATTATCTTGAGCACCTGGTTGATTTTTAATCTTAAAACCATTGTAAATCAGTACACTGAGCAGGCAGTCTTAATTCATGCTGGCTGCCACAGTTGAGATAAAAATTGTCTCATCTCTAGCAAATGCGTACAGTTTTATGGCATTCACTTTGTATCTTAACCTCATTCCTGGCTCTGTCTATCCTTCTTATGCTCATTTTCTCTTCAGCTTTATTTTTCTTACCTATATTTATTTTTTTAGCATTTTAATCTACAGAAACTGCCTTAAATTTTTCCTAGAAGGACATGGGTGCAGGACATTTAATAAAATAGATAATGCCCACTTTGAAAGCTATTGTAATGTGTGTAAAAGTGATGCACAGAGTAGGGATCATTAATTTGGGGTTTTAAAAAACTGAATCAAAAAATATTGGTTATAACTACTTTGAACTGATAAAAGTTTAAATAGTTTGATTTTGAAGGGAAGATAGACTTTCAGAAGAGCAGATAGGCCCATTGTCATGTGTCCAGAAGTCCTTTATATAAAGATAAATGAGGTACTTTATATAAAGATAAATGAGGATATCTGGAAGATTTTTTTCCTTTCAGCCTTAATCAGGGTAAAATAGTCATGTTACTTATCTGTATGAAGGCTTCCATCTATCTTGTATACAGTTCTCAGCCATCTTATCTTCACAGGGTCTTGGGTGAACAAGAACCCTCCCTAATGGAGTTTTCTGACATATGTAGTATGTCTTTGCAGAGGATGTTTTACAGGAGAGTTGTTCTGATTTAAATCACCTATTTACTTGAACTAGATATAGTCAATAGAACTAGACGTTTTGAATTTTTATTGTGTGGATGATTTACACTTAACAAGGCTTGAATTTGTAAAAACAAAAGCCGTATTTAACTGGTGTAAACTGTTTGTGAACTTAGGATTCAAATGTCACAATTTGTATTTTTAAAAATTAATCACTCAAATATCCACTTGCCTTATTAGCAGAAAGTACACCATCTTCCTCTTGGAATTTCTGCTTTTCTCTGAATTCTTCCAAGAACTTTAGTGACTTACACTGAATATGTTCATCCGTGGCTTCCAAATCCAAGATGAGTGTGGGCTGTGTATTCATGCATCTGTATATATGTATGTGAGGGAGACACACTAGAGTCTGTTCAGCCTACCACTGCCAACTATACTTCCCTGCCTTGTGATAGAGTATTGAAAACCAGTCTTAAACTGTCCAACAGGAGCTATAGGTTCACTGTTTACCCAGATGTTTGTGCAGGCCACTACAGTGCATCAGGGAAGCATCTTCCTGTGCTAAGTTCAGTTAGGATGTTCCATGTTGCCTTACGGTTGAGCACCCAAAATGACATCTGTTAGCACATAGGTCTTTCAGTTGACATCATGGACACCTCTCAATATTATTCTAAGTGCACTGCAAACATTGAGTCAGGACTGGTCCTACGTCTACCATCTCATACCCTTAGACCCACATTTCTCCTTACCACCATGAGCTCCTATGCCATTATTTTTTCTTTAAAGTTCCTGGCCGGGCGTGGTGGCTCACACCTGTAATCCCACCACTTTGGGCAGCCGAGGAGGGTGGATCACTTGAGGTTCAGGAGTTTGAGACCAACTTGACCAACATGGTGAAACCCCATCGCCACTAAAAATACAAACATTAGCCAGGTGTGGTGGCATATGCCTATAATCCGAGCTATCTGGGAGGCTGAAATAGGAGAATTGGTTGAACCCAGGAGGTGGCAAAATTGCAGTAAGCCAAAATTGTGCCACTGCACTCCAGCCTGGACAGCAGAGCAAGACTCCATCTCAAAAAGAAAAAAAAAGTTCCCGTGACCTCTGGGAACTTAGATAGAGCCTCTCAGAAAGGCTTCATCTAAGCAGAGACTCCAGGAGACTTTATTCCTACCCTCATGAGGCAGACTACTGTCAGTGACTCAAAAGAGATTCACCCTTTTAAAGGAGGTTTTCTTAGTTATCTCCCAGGTATTCATACCTACCCTTCTTGGAGGTAGTGATGCCAAAATAATTTTCTGCCTTATCCCTCTTCGGCAAAGTGGGGAAATGGAACTAATTTCTGTCGGGGCATCCTACAACATATGTAACTAATCTCAAATGGAAGAGCAAGGGTTAAGTGATTTATATTGCAAGAGCCTTCATCTTTTAAATGAAGTAGACATGACCAAGAGAACAAATGATGAACTTAATAAAATAGGTGTTGGTTAGATGTGATGGAAAGTCAGAACCAATTATTTGTGATGTGAAGGACTGGGAGAAGTTTCGGATGATGAACCATACTAGTAACTCGAAGGTTACTCGAATAGCGTTGTTCTCTTAATGTTCAGGATTTTGATCTATATAAACACTGTTTCTGCCACTACCTCATCTCACTCCACCCCACCCCAAAAAAGATACAACAGAACTCCAGAATATGGAACCCAGAGTTCCATTAAGAAACTTTCAGAGTTTATGGAGCTAAGGCATTGCCATGGAAATCATAAAATGGAAACCATTATTTATTATGTCTTAGTAAAAACTTTTGCCATTGAGTAACTCTGTATTTAAAGTTGTTCCCCATTCACATGGGGACTCTGTATTAGCTAAGCAGGGAGTGGATCACTTTTTTTTTGCAGCACTGTCTTGGTGCTTGAGTTGCCTATTAATAAGAGGAGTTTTATCTGTGCCTGTCTAGTGTAGATATTACAATATCTCATTTTCTTTGATATTAAGAATGCATAATGGTTTTCCCCCCAAAAGCAAACTTCTTGCTTTTTCTTCCAATGCTTTGATTTTATTATTTTGTGTTTTACATTTGTTTTTAAATAGTAGAGGTAAAAGCTCTTCGGAAGAGGGATGGGGGAAAGATTGGTTGTATTGGAGCAAGTTACGTTTAGGCCATTCTGCTGCAAGTGAGATGCACATGCTCAGTCTTTATTTTTGTGTATTACAGGCCTTTCGGGAAGACTTGGAATGCCTTATTCAAGAACAGATGAAGAAAGGCCACAACCCAACTGGATTGCTAGCATTACAACAGATTGCAGATTACATCATGACCAATTCTTTCTCGGGTTTTTCTTCACCTCCCCTCAGTATGTCAGTTTTGGAGAATTTTAAACATTATCATTTTACCTCCACTTTGGAACACTGTACATCTCTAGCAGCATATTCTGCTCAGGTTCAGTCCTTAAGTTTATAACATCTAATACTTAGAGTAACATAGTGTTAGAACCTCCTGCCCTTTCATATCAACCAGGCATTTACTACACTTCATACAGATTATAAGATGATATAAGACATGGTCCTCAGCTGGGATCTGTGGCATGTGTTCGTAATCCCAGCTACATGGGAGGCTGAGGTGGGAGGATCACTTGAGCCTGGGAATTCGAGACCAGCCTTGCAACAAAGTGAAAACCATATCTCTCTTTTTAAAAATAAGAAATCTGATTTTAATGTGGCTGAATATAAATCATATCACAATTGGATTTGAAAGTTTGAGTTTTATTCCTAACTTTGACGGGAAGCCATTTTACGCAGAAAGATTATTTTAAAAGACCAATATATTTTCTGTGTGAGGAATGAACTGGGAGATTTCATAGTATTATTAACAAAAATAAAAGAGTCCAGATTTGGGCATCTAGTTTGGCTTGGGAAGTGGCGGAAGTTCAGCTTTGGGCATGCTCGTTTTCATTGCCAAGACATTGCATCAATTGGAAATGCAGTCAGAGAGCTTAGGAGAAAGACTTGGCAGACGGACATAGAGAGGTAGTACTGAAAGCTGTGGCCGCTGATTAAATAGACAAGAGGGTATAGGCTGACAAAAGATCCCAAAGAGAGAACCTCAGAAGCTCAAAGAGGAAGACTAGTCAGGGAAAACAGAAATAGTAAAAGAAGCTATCCTGCAAGTGTCCTGGATTCCATGGCAGGATAAGTAGCTACAGGAGACCTTGGCCTGCTGGCTGGAATGTACAAAGGCATGGCAGGAGGAAAGCCATGTGCCACTGTTTGGAGGTCAGGAAGTAGCAACCAGTTTGCCTGAAATACATACGCTGTGTTGTGAAAAGCGGAAGTTAAAGTTGGAAAGTTAGGGAGAGTAGGAGATAGGTTAATGGCTGACTGTAAAATTTTGTCAGAAATTATGTTATTTTGTATGGCTTATATATTAAAACTGTTCACATTACTTCAAAACATCTCAAAATTAAAAAGTCTTACACTGAAATATTGATTCTCTTTCAAAATGCTTGCTGGCATTCTCAGGTTAAAAGCAGTGCTTTAGAAAACTCAGTGGCTTTATGCATAATGAATTTACAAAGGGGCTGCAGTCAAGGCCAAGAATGAGGCAGATTGCAGCGATCCACACATGAGGTACAACCTGAACTCAAGTGTGGACGGCAAGGGACCTTATGAAGAAAACAGTCATGGAATGTGGTGACAAATTATATATGGTAACCCAGGAGAGATTAAGAGGTAGAGGTTACTTAGAGTATGAGCCTATAGGAATGGTACTGTCAATATTAGAAGCAAAGTAAGAAGAGAGAAGGTAAGGGAAAGAGAAGATAAAATCACCTTTAGACCCTTTTAATTTTCTTTTTTTTTCTTGAGTTGGAGTCTCGCCCTGTTACCCAGGCTGTAGTACAATAGCGCAATCTCAGCTCACTGCAACCTCCACCTCCCGGGTTCAAGCCATTTTCCTGCCTCAGCCTCCTGAGTGGCTGGGATTACAGGTGCGTGCCACCACACCCAGCTAATTTTTGTATTTTTAGTAGAGACACAGTTTCACCATGTTGGCCAGGATGCTCTCGAATTCCTGACCTCAGATGATCCACCCGCCTCTGTCTCCCAAAGTCCTGGGGTTACAGGCGTGACCCACTGTGCCCAACTGACCTTTTTAATTTTCATGTTACTGTGTTGTACACAGAAATAGCAGGCTAGGCCAGGCACAGTGGCTCATGCCTATAATCCTAGCACTTTGGGCGGCCAAGGCAGGAGTATCACTGGTGGCCAGTAGTTCAAGATGAGCCTGGGCAACATGGTGAAACCCTGTCTTCACTAAAAAATAAAAACAGCCAGGTGTGGTAGCATGCCCTGTAGTCCCAGCTCCTCAGGAGGCTGAGGTGGAAGGATTGCTTGAGCCTAGGAGTTCAAGGCTGCAGTGAGCCATGATCACACCACTGCACTGCAGCCTGGGTGACAGGGTGAGACCCTGTCTCTAAAAACAAAACAAATTTAAAAAGCAGACTGGGGCCCAGGCATGGTGGTGCTTATACCTGTAATCCCAGCACTTTGGGAGGCTGAGGTGGGTGGATCACCTGAGGTTGGGAGTTCAAGACCAGCCTGATCAACATGAAGAAACCCCATCTCTACTAAAAACAACAAAATTAGCCGGGCATGGTGGTGCATGCCTGTAATCCCAGCTACTCGGGTGGCCAAGGCCGGAGAATCACGTGAACCCGGGAGGTGGAGGTTGCAATGAGCCGAGATCACGCCATTGCACTCCAGCCTGGGCAACATAAGCAAAACTCCATCTCAAAAAACAACAAAAAAAAAAGCATGGGGGGAGGGGGCCGGCTGACAAATGGGGAGGAAGATCTGATCAGAACTAAAGACCAGGGAGTGAGCCATCAACACAGAAATAACAGCAGTAAGGGAGGCTTGAGAGTCTATAATGTTTTTGTAGGGAAAAGTAAAATGAGAAAGAACATAGTAGAGGACTGAGGTTTGGGAAAGAACCACAGTTGGGTGAAGGAACAGATGAACTTGTTAAAGGAGAAAAGCAGGTGGACAACGAACAAGAGATCCAGGATAGTATCACATGGGCCTCGAGAAGAGTTCTAGGAATGAGGCAGTGTACATAGTGTCAAGCTGTAAGAGATCAAAGAGAATGAAGACTGAGCAGAAGTTGAGCTTGGTATCAGTTAAACTTGGCAATTAGATCATTAGAGACCTTCAAGATTACTTCAAGAACTTCAATGGGACAGAACCCAAACTATTTGCATGTGTTATTTTCCATCTCAAATGCTTTTTGTGTTTGAATAAAAGTCAAAAGAGGTAATAGAAAAGTAGCTTTCTGTTGAGATCTTTTCATCATGAAACTAGCAATAATTTTAGTACTTAACACTTTTACCCTTGGAGATATATGGAACCACTTTTCCCCAGTGGTGTGAACCTTTGATATAGTCACTCCTTAGCAAGCGCTAGATGAAGCAACTTTTGCTAAGCAATCAAAGATAGCTGACACTTATTTTTACTCTCACTGTACCTCTCTGAAGGAGAATAAGCTAATAAAATACTGTGTGGGCTGATAAATTTCAGATCATTATATACAAGGCTGGGATACTCCCAGACGCAGGCTACTTCCTGGCAGCTAATTTCCAGGTAAGGGATTGCTTGACTTGAATCTCTCTCCACATTTTTTGCTCTTTCAGGTCTTGGCATGGTCACGCCTATCAATGACCTTCCTGGTGCAGATACATCCTCATATGTGAAGGGAGAAAAACTTACTCGCTGTAAACTTGCCAGCCTGTACAGACTTGTAGACTTGTTTGGATGGGCACACCTGGCAAATACCTATATCTCAGTGAGTTCAGCTTTCACTTCCTTTTTTAAAGAATTCCAACTAGAAGGCAATTATACTTTTCTTAACTTTACCTGGAAGTCCAGTTTGCAGACTTATTCTCTAAACCTAGTATGCTAGATCATAACCAAAGAGAGATTTAAACCTTATCCCCAAGGGGGCTACAGTTGCTCCCACCTTTCTTCTCCCCTTACTGTTTTATTCCTTTGATTCAGACCAGTTGTAGAATCTATCCAAGAAGAGATCTTTCTGGCAAAATTGTCCCTCCCATGTAATTATATGTGAGCATCAGTGGCTTTTAAAAGCATTTGAGGCAAGAAAGAGGAGATTAGAGAAGCTTCCTCCCCGGTCTTTATTTTTTAAATATATCCTTTCCATTCACCATCATATGTTCATTTTGCCACACTTTGAAAAAGATGCTATTTGGAAACAAAAGAGCATTAAAATATTGTATAATGGAAATAATATAGCTGCAGTCCACCAAGAATCTTTCTTCCTTTCCCCCTTCCATCTTTAATTCCTTCCTAGGAAGAGATCCTGTTCTCTTTCCTTTGCCCATTTTGCCTTAATTTCCAAGTTATAAATTAAGGTTATAATCATTACCACATTGGCTTGAATGCTATTGGCATTTATTTTTTATGAACATAGCTGACCCTAAATAACCTTAGAACCCCAAAATAACACTTTTACGTAAGTCCAGTAAAAAACCAATGTCAGAATGTTTTAGCAAGTACTTGAGGAAACTTTAGGCAAGTTTCCTGCTGTAGAACTTTAATTTTTGCTTTATTGGGTTTTTTTCCTCCAGGTCGCTTACAGTTATTTGTTGTAAATATATTTGTAGTCATGTTTCCACTGCAAAATATGAACCACTTCATAGTAATTCCTTGTTGTTTTTTTTCCAGGTAAGAATAAGTAAGGAGCAAGACCACATTATAATAATTCCCAGAGGACTATCTTTTTCTGAAGCTACAGCCTCCAATTTGGTATAATTTTTCATTCCGGTGTTACTTTTTCTGAGCTTTCTTTTGCTTTTCTGACAGTTCTTAGCTTTTAGCACAGGACAGAATATGGGAAGGTATGGATGGAAAAACATTTACAAGTGAACAGTGAAGGGAATTTGAACTATGTTGTTATTTTAAAGAAAAGCTTTGGAGAACAGCGTAATTGAAGAGACTAATAAATGAGTTGGTCTTATCAGTTATCTGTGTTTTGAAGGGAATCTTGATTTTTTTTTTTCCCACCCTATACACTCAGAAATTTGTCTTAAAAAAAACACACGGCTGGGTTCACACCTGTAATCCCATAACTTTGGGAGAGACTGAGGTGGGTGGATCTTTAGGTCAGGAGTTTGAGACCAGCCTGGCCAACATGGTGAAACCCCGTCTCTACTAAAGACACAAAAAATTAGCCGGGCCTGGTGGTGCACGCCTGTAATCCCAGCTACTCAGGAGGCTAAGGTAGGAGAATCACTTGAACCCGAGAGGCAGAGGTTGCAGTAAGCCGAGATCACGTCATTGCACTCCAGCCTGGGTGACAAGGTCCAAGACTCTGTCTCAAAAACAAAACAAAACAAAACCACCAAAACACACACAGACTATGTTCATAGCTAGATTTAAACGAAGTTCAGTTGGTGTGAGTATAGGATCTGACCTTCTTAGCATTTCATCTTTTCCATGACTACTACTAGCCATGTCATTAGCTTATGGAGCGAGCAACAGGAGCCACCTTGGTTCTGGGTGCTTGCTGCAATGTAAGCAAATAGAAGTTTTCTAGCCAATTCGATACATGTTGAGACCTCCGACTGAAGAGCTTAAGTTTCTCAGTTTCTTGGAAACTGTACTTGCTGAGTACTAAGTTTTGTTGCAGACTACCTATTTTATAAAGTCTTATGGGAACAAAGCTATACCTGTTAACTTACAGGTTGTTTATGGTTGCTTTTGTACCCCACCTGCAGAGTTGAATAATTGCAGCAGAGGCCCACAGAGTCCAAAATATTTACTATCTGGCCTTTTACAAAAAAAGTTTGCAACCCCCGGTTTAGCTTGTAAAACACAAATTTTGATACATATGCACCAGTTAAATATGTCTTTCTGATTTCTTCCAGGTGAAAGTCAATATAATAGGAGAAGTGGTTGACCAGGGAAGTACCAATTTGAAAATTGACCATACAGGATTTAGTCCCCATGCTGCGATCTATTCAACACGTCCTGATGTTAAGTGTGTGATACACATCCATACCCTTGCAACAGCAGCTGTAAGTTAATGCAAGGCCAAAACTGGCAGTGCCTCTGGAAGATGTATTATTTTGTGGCTTTTTTAACAGGGTGCTTTACTATCTGCTTTTCAGAATCATATTTGAAATAATAATTCTGCATACCCAGAAAGTGAAAGGCCCTAGGGACTAAATGCTACCATTCTAGGAAACAGCTGGAGAAATAGCATTTGGATTTTAATCAGTTTGAAAATTAGGCCATTGAGTTTTTTGGAGCAAAGGTTTTTTCGTAATATTTGACATACCATTTAAGTTGAACTGTATTCCTTAAGTCCTTTTTTAGTGTGTGGAAGAAACGTAGTGGGAGGTGGGCTGCAGTGGTGAACACAGTCAATAGGCCAGTGCTTTTCTCAGCTGACCAAACAATCAGGTTCCTATGAAAATGTATTTAGTAACCAAATGTGTTATCTTGGTGTGGGCCAAACCAAATAGGTATCCTCCATGAAATGTGGGATCCTTCCAATTTCTCAAGAATCTCTTATTCTGGGAGATGTTGCCTATTATGACTACCAAGGGTCACTGGATGAACAGGAAGAGAGAATTCAACTGCAGAAAGTTCTGGGGCCAAGTTGTAAGGTATGTAGAGTTTGTCTAAGGAGCTATTTTCGTTGCTGCTGCTGTTGATGAAAACAGTGTGAGCTATGCCAGTTATTTAAAGTGATTGCTGTGGGCATTCTATTTTAGGTGCTGGTACTCAGGAATCACGGTGTGGTTGCACTTGGAGAAACAGTAGAGGAGGCTTTTCATTATGTTTTTGGTGTGCAGCTAGCCTGTGAGATTCAGGTAGGAAACATTCCCCTTCTTTAATTACTTTGTTATTTGCTCATTTAGCTGAATTTTGTATAAACTTATTTCCAAATACCTATTAGTGGCTTTTTACCTTTTAAGAAAAGTTGTGCTCTACTTAAGTAGAGAAGGTTCTCAACTCCGTTATCTCTTGAATTGAAAATAGGAGGAAAGAAAATTAAAATTTTCTCACACACAATCTGAGGGCCGCGAAAACATCAAGTTCCCTACAATCCTGCTTTTTAAGATAGTATAATTGCATGTTTCTCTGTTTTCACCCTCTAGTGTTGGTGCTAATTAAGAAAAACAGCTGCAAATCAAGAATCGAATGTGTTGTGGTCACTTTTGTAAAAAGTTTGGCTAGGGCCAGAAGTTTCTTAAAATTGCAGTTTTCAGCAATTCCACAGTCTCTTATGATGAGAGGTTGGATATTAACTACTTTTTTTTTAAATCAGAGATGGTGAATTTATGTAAAGTCCCTAATTTTCTCTTAAAGCAGATTGTCATGAAGCAAATGGTAGTGATCTTAATTTATTGGAAGGGGCACAAGAAAGAAAACGAAAACCAAAACCAAAACCTTTTTCTATCAACATTAACTTATCCTAAAAATCCACTTCTTTTTTGCTTTAGTGGTCTCTCCTGCTCTTCTCAAATGGGGCTATGAAAAGCTTAATTTAATTCAGATAATGAGCTGATGGCTTCTGCCTAAATATCTTCAAATTCAAAGTATGGTGTTTTTGTATTCCCTTAAAATTATAACTTTTAACAAAAGTATTAACTGGATAACCCTGGGAAAACTTCAAGAAAAGAAATTTAAAATTTGGCAGGAGAATTCAGTTGCTTTTAAGAGGTATGGCTCTAAATGTGTTTTCCACTGGGGAGGATCAGAGTCTTGGAAGGTTTCTTTTTCAGATAGGTAGAAAAGATAATTCAGCTGTCTGCTGGCACAAGAGCGTCATCTTGTCTTTGTTGTTAGTAGCCTGAGCAAATATTAAAGATATTTGCCAAACTGTGCCTTTTTGTAAGTAAAATAAATACTCATTATCATCTTTGTAATTTTGTATCTCTCTATATTTTCCCATTGATTACAGGTGCAGGCCCTGGCAGGGGCGGGTGGAGTAGACAATCTCAGTGTACTGGACTTTCAGAAGTATAAAGCTTTCACTCACACTGTAGCAGTATCTGGTGGAGGAGGTGTGAATATGGGTTCACATCAAAAATGGAAGGTTGGCGAAATTGAGTTTGAAGGGCTTATGAGGACTCTGGACAACTTGGTAGGTTGCAAAATTGAACTAAAACTTGGATTTAATGTCTTCAGATTCAAGAGCAGATGCTTACATTTCATTTTGGTTGTAGAACGTGCTCTGTACTCCTCCAGAAGCCGAGTTTGGCCCTAGGAAAGCGTTTCAGGGTGATTTAACCACACCCTTGAGAATCAAACAGAACTTACAAATGCCTTTTTTTGTGTGTTTTTTTTTTTTAAGATTAGAATATATTGTTTTAACTATAGTCACCATAGTACAGTGTATCTCTTGAAGTTTTTCCTCCTGTCTAACTGAAATTTGTATCGTTTGATCAACATCTCTCCGCCCCCACCTCATAGTAACCACTATTCTCTGATTTTATGAATTTAAATTTTTTTTTTTTTTGAGGGAAGGTCTTACTTGGAGGGCAGTGACACAATCACGGCTCATTTATAGCCTCAACCTGCTGGTCTCAAACCATTCTTCCACCTCAGCCTCCTGTGTAGTTGGGACCATAGGTGTGTGCCACCATACCTGGCTTTTTTTTTTTTTTTTTTTTTTCCCACTTTTTGTAGAGATACGGTTTCTCCATGTTGCCCAGGCCGGTCTTGAACTCCTATGCTCAAACAACCTTTCCATGCAGCCTCCCAAAGTGCTGGGATTGCTGGCGTGAGCTGCCATGCCCAACAGGTTCAACTTTTTAAGATTCTGTATATAAGTGAGATCATGTAGTAGTTGTCTTTCTGTGCCTAGTTTATTTCATTTAACATAATGTCCGCTAGGTTTATCCATGTTGTCACATTTGACAGAATTTCTTTTTTAAGGCTGAATAGTATTCTATTATGTTTTATATATACCACATTTTAATCCTATCCATCGATGGACATTTGGGATGATTCTATATCTTGGCTATTGTGAATAATGGGTGCAGCTAACAAGAGAGTGCAGATAAGAAGACTGCTGGATCATAGGGTAGTTTTATTTTTACTTGTATGAGGAACCTCCATACTGTTTTCCATAATGGCTATACTAATTTACATTGCCACCAACAGTGCACAAAGGTTCCCTTTCTTCTTACATTGTCTCTAACACTTGTTATCTTTCAATTTTTGATACAGTAATTCTAACAGGACATGATATCTCATTGTGATTTAATTTGCATTTTCTTGATTAGTGATGTTGAGCATTTTAAAATATATTCATTGGCCAATTTGTATGTCATCTTTTGAAAATGTTTATTCAGATCCTTTGCCCATTTTTTAATTGGGTTCTTTTCTTGCTGTTTTTTGAGTTCCTTATATATTTTGGATAGTAACTCCTTATCTGCTGTATGGTTTAGCAAATGTTACCTTAGATTTTACCCTCTTCTGTGAAAGCTCGGAAGGCAGACTGCCTTCAGACTCAGGAACAAAGACTTAAATGGGCAGTGAGATTTGCTTCCCAAAAACAGTTTTATAGGTAGAAAAGCAGTAATGGTCAGCAATTTAGAACTGTTCCTTTGTCGGGAACAGTTGTGTGAATGGAAATTGCAATATCAACTGTAATCAGCTTTAACTAGATCTTGCGCAGTTTCAGCTCTAGTTACATGAAAATTACGTAGCATTTGGAAAGATGCTTTTTCCTTTGTTTTTCAACAATGGGGTCTTTTAAATCATTTGTATAAGGAATTAGGATCCCAGTACTGTTGTTGATACAAGTTTGATGCTTCAAATGTGGTTTTTCCCTCCCTTAGGGGTATAGAACAGGCTATGCTTACAGACATCCTCTCATTCGAGAGAAGCCTAGGCACAAGAGTGATGTGGAAATCCCAGCAACTGTGACTGCTTTTTCCTTTGAAGACGACACAGTGCCACTCTCTCCTCTCAAATACATGGCACAGAGGCAACAGCGTGAAAAAACAAGATGGCTGAACTCGCCAAATACTTACATGAAAGTGAATGTGCCTGAGGAGTCTCGGAATGGAGAAACCAGTCCCCGAACCAAAATCACGGTGTGCCAGTAATTTATGTAGTTTGCCTTTACTAAGATGTTTTGCCTAGTTACTTAGGAATTGAATGTTAGATATTGAAAATATTTGGAAAGTAAAATGATATTTAAAAATTACTACTGTGACTTACCAGGTTTTAACTTTGCACAAGGCACTGTTTTAAGTGCTGTACATGAATTAACCTCATTTGCTTCTCCTAATATGAATGATGCTGTTTTTCTATTTTATAGATGAGAAAACCAAGGCAAGAAGGGTTAATTAATCATGTTTTAATGGTAAACTGAGGATCTGCATGCAGACAGTCTGACTCTTGAGCCCAGTTCTTGCCCACTACAGGATACTGCTTTGTAGTTACTGTTGCACCAATGAATTAAAACTGTTAATTTATCGACAGCTAATTGAACCAAAGCTGCATGAATCATTGCACATAGCTACCCTTAGGCAAGATTTTGTAGGTAGAGAAATGGGTTATTTTATCTTTTTCAGAGTTTTGCTTTAGATTTGGTTTGATTTGGTTTTGGAGTGCATACCACCAAACATTCTTTAGATCAAGCTTGTCCAGTCCACAGCCCAGTATGGCTTTGGATGCAGCTCAATACAAATTTTAAACTTTATTAAAACGTTATGAGAATTTTTTGTGATTTTTTTTTTAAATTTATCGGCTATTGTTAGTATGTTAGTATATTTTATATGTAGACCAAGACAATTCTTCCAGTGTGGCCCAGGGAGGCCAAAAGATTGGATATCATTGCTCTAGATATTCAAGATTAGTTCATCTTATATAAACAAATGGCATTCAATACAAAAATACCTAGGCATCAAAATGTCTTTTCTGTAGTCTAAGATTTCTTGTTTCTCAGAATTCATTTTGTTGACAGAGATTGTTGGTCAGCCATCATTAATCTTTATGAGATTAGGTTTCTTTAAGGAGTATAATATGGGGTAAATGAGAAGAATTACATAAGCTCCTTCCAACCCCATGATTCTATTTTGCTATTATATACCAGATTATCCCCATTATAAAATGCTGATTAGGGCTTGGCCTTTTCTGTCTGCAAAAAATAAAAAATGAAGTATGATAATCTTAAGATAATTGTTAAGGGTTGTTGTTGTTGTTGTTGTTTTGGTGACTTCTGTCTTTAGTGCAGAAGACAGAACCCTAAATGTGAGTGAATGTGAGATCATGCTCTCTGAACCTAAAGTAGTTTCAGCCTTATATTTTCACTTGACAGAAGGAGAAAGTTTAATTAGCAGTGTAATTGAATATTTGTGTGAATCGTAATGGCATTTATTTTTTAAGTGAATGCTGATTGTGAGCCTTTTCTAACTAGTATGCGATGAAACTAATTCACCACTACAGTATTGCTTAGTGAAATTCTTTAAACATTAGCAGTGCCCCTCTTGAGACCGTAGTCATCTAGCAATCTACTAATATTTCCTTAACACAAAGTTTCATTTTAGAAAATTTTTGCTTTCTTAGTGGATGAAAGCGGAGGACTCGTCTAAAGTTAGTGGAGGAACACCTATCAAAATTGAAGATCCAAATCAGTTTGTTCCTTTAAACACAAACCCGAATGAGGTACTAGAAAAGAGAAATAAGGTAAGACATGGTCTTCTGTAGCCAGGGGGAACATTTTGTTTTATGTTTAAATCACCAGTGATTGAATCTGGTTAATGCCAAACTTAGAAGTTTGAATACAGAAGAATTTGGAATTTAATTCAGTATGATTTTAACTTATATTGAATGCCTCCAGGTCTGTGCTAGTAATTGGTGAACAGGCTACATGGGGAAGATGTATTAAACATATTTCTGCCTTAGAACCCTCCTATTAGGGGAAAATGCATTCTCTAACAACCTAAGACAAAAGGAAGTGACGTGCCAAAAAGAGTGAAGGAGACTAATTTGAGTTGTTAGGATGATTAAAAGAAGTCTTTATGGAAGTGGGAATTGAAGAGGCTCTCACTCTGGAATGGTCAAAGAGTAAGCTTTTATGAAAAGATAAAGCAAAGGTCATCTGCATAGTTGCCCTCAAGAACTTTTTATTGAATTGTTTTTCAATTCAGATTCGGGAACAAAATCGATATGATTTGAAAACAGCAGGACCACAGTCTCAGTTGCTTGCTGGAATTGTTGTGGATAAGCCACCTCCTGTAAGTTTATAAAGCAATATGATCTTTGTTTTTGATCTACCATGTTAATTTCATTGCTTTTTAAATATGAATATTTTGTTAATATAAGCACAAGTTAAAAAGTCAACCCACAAGACTTAAAATGCCACCCACAATTCCCAGTTTCCAGGTGCAGCAATTTCCTGTTCTTTTCATTGCTTCTAATATTTACCTTGATGTTTCTAGTTAGTTAAGATGCGGTCTCACTGTGTTGCCCTGGATAGTCATGAACATCTGGCCTCAAGTGATCCTCCAGCCTTGACCTTCTGAAGTATTGGGATTACAGGTGTAAACCACTGCTCCTGGTCCTACTCTGATGTTTCTGAAGAGCATATTCTGCTTTTTCTTGATCTGTCAGTTTTAGACCTTGACTATTTTTCATCAAATCTATGTCATCCATTATAAGAAGTACCATTATCTTACATGTCACTAAAAGAGAAAAAAACACTGCCAATTATAATTGTAGAAGCCATAAGGTGATTCCCAGTTTCAGAGATGGAAAATGTTCATCTTAGAATTAATGAAATATTTTTGAAAGATGGGGATTTAGCCTTTTTATACAATGCTTCCCTGGTCTCTCTCCCCATTCTCCCAGTAAGGGTACATCACAGCTGGTTTTGTTTTTTTGTTAAATCAGCTTTCACTATTTATATTACTGCATATTTGCTGCTGAGCCAGGTAGTATTTCCTTTCTTACATAACTTACCCCTCCCTACCCTCACCTTGCCTCTTTTTCATTGGCTTATTATTTGGGGTACATTGGCTTAGTTCTTCTCAAACTTCTTAACAAAATTACAAAGTCCTGGCCAGGCATGGTGGCTCACATCTGTTATCCTAGCACTTTGGGAGGCCAAGGCAAGTAGATCATGAGGTCAAGAGATTGAGACCATCCTGGCCAACATGGTGAAACCCTATTTCTACTGAAAATACAAAAATTAGCTGGGCGTGGTGGCACACACCTGTAGTCCTAGCTACTTGGGAGGCTGAGGCAGGAGAATCACATAAATCCTAGAGGAAGAGAGTTTGCAGTGAACCGAGATCATGCCATTGCACTCCAGCCTGGTGACAGAGTGAGACTCCTTCTCAAAAAAATAAAAAATAAAGTCCGTCCTAATATTATTTTCCATAGGGTCAAAGGCAACAGGTAATCTCTGTTCCAAGCCACCCATGTCTCCCCCCACCCCCCATCATTCTGATCCAAATCTAAATTGGTTGTTCTCAGGCCAGCTGTGCAGGTTCATCTGGAGGATTCCTGTGCTGCTCATCTACATTGTACTCCGTTTCCTGTATCTTCTGTCTTCTGCTTTCTTGAATTCTTCTGTTACCGTAGAACACACCCTCTAATAGCTTTCTGAGAAAAGGATACATAGGAGGTAACAGTCTGAAATGCCTTTATTATACCTTCAAATGTACATATAATGGATATAGAGTAGTTTGGAAATTATTTTTTTCTGAAATATGAAAAACATCATTCTATTGTCCCCTGTTTTATTGTTGAAGTTAGGAAGGCATTGGGATTCCTCAACCTTTGTTTAGGACTTTTTTTTTTTTTTTTTTTTTTGCTTTGAAACATTTCTACATCCCTGCTGTTCTGAAATTTTATGATTGTGTGCTTCATAGATCTCTTTTTAGTCTTTTTTCTAAGTAATTCTTAAGCCTTTTCAGTCTACAGAGTCATATCCTTTAGTTCTGGTAGTTATTTTTTTGTTTGGTTTTTTTTTAAGTGTTTCTTCAAGAGTTTTCTTACCATTTCTTTCTCTGTCAGTTTATCCTGTTAGTTTGGATGTTGGGCCTCTTTGAGCCTCTGATTTTTTTTCTTTTCTTTCCTACTTACCATCTCTTTATCTTTGCATCCTACTTTCTGGGAGACCTTCCTGATGTTTTCTAACCCTCTTAATTTTTTATTTTGATGTTAATTTTTTTTTATTTTTAAGAGTTCTTTTTCTCTGAATGTTCATTTTTAATAACATCCTGGCCTTTTTTTATAGATACACTTTCTCTTATTGCTCTAAGGGTATCAATTTTAAGTTTTCTTTATTTGCCTTTGTTGTCTTTGTCTATTCTGAGTTTATATGTCTGTTTATATGGAATAATGAGACATGAAAGCCTCTCAGAAGCTCTGGGTATATACAGAGTTAGGGGATTGGTGGGCTTCATTGTAGGGTGATTGGATGTGGACCAGGTTGTTTCTCTGGGAAATCCCCAGACATTCCTCTCTCTAATTCTTTTATTTGGGACTATTTAGTTTATCTGGAAAAGAACTCTCCAGTCTGTCAGTTTCCAAGCATCATTCTAGGAGCCCGCAGCTGTATTTCGTATCCCTTAGTTAGTTTTTCTAAAGAATAATCCTCTGATCTTCTGCAGAGACGAGAGAGAGGGAAATGCTTGGCTCTGGAATAGGGAAGGGAACCTGGGAATCTGTCTCTTATTCAGACTTTTAACTTGTTCCTATATTCTCACCTTTTCCTCACCACCACCTTTGGTGGTACCTGTTGATTCTGGTTTCTGGGCTTTACCAGACCTCTTCAGGGCAAACAAGCATGCTTCTCATTTGCATCCTTTTTTTCAAGATGGAGGCTTCAACTTTCTCAGCTCTGCTACCTGCTGTTCCACGTGCATTCTATCTTCCAAAAATGTGTTAACATTTCTCATCCTTTGTTGTCTCCTCTCACATTCTTTTGTCCGTAAGAGTTTTTTTCAAATTATTATTCCTTTACTATCATTTTAATGGTGTTTGGGGAGGTATAAAAAATAAATTGATGGCTTCTATATACCAGGTGCAACTGAAATTCTATTATTTCCTTTCCTAGAGAAAACAATTACAAGCTTATTTTCATAACAGATTTAAAGAACTGCTTTTGGTACAGTTTCATTTCTGTAAGCCTTTTTTACAAAGCTCTTTGAAATGAAGCAGTTCTTGTTTTTTTCAAGATGGCTTTTGTTATGTGAAGCTTTTAGAATTTGGCATAATGGTTTTTTTAAAAATTATTAAGATGTGGCTGGGCGCGGTGGCTCACGCCTGTAATCCCAGCACTTTGGGAGGCCGAGGCAGGCAGATCACCTGAGGTCTGGAGTTTGAGACCAGCCTGGCCAACATGGTAAAACCCTGTCTCTAGTAAAAAATACAAAATTAGCTGGGTATGGTGGCAGATGCCTGTAATCCCAGCTACTCAGGAGGCTGAGACAGGAGAATCACTTGAACCCAGGAGGCAGAGGTTGCAGTGAGCTGAGATCCCGCCATTGCATTCCAGCAGCCTAGGCAACAAGAGCAAAACTTCGTCTCAAAAAAAAAAAAAATTATTAAAATGTACTTATATAGGCTTATTGAGGAAACATCACTGCAATTTTAGTCCATTGGACCAGTAGTTTAAGAGCATTAATCTTAGAAGAGCGTTTTAAACAAAGCATGTTACCTTGTTATTTCTTATGATTGTTGTGAAGTAAGCCTTCACAAACATCATATGTGCATTTGTGTGTATTTAGATGGATGAATAGATAGATATATAAGTAAAACTCTGATAATGAATTGATTTTTATTTTTTCTTTGTAAGACTATGCATTTTGAAGATGATGACCAAGGCCCACCAGGTCCTCCTAACCCGTTTAGTCATCTCACAGAAGGAGAACTTGAAGAGTATAAGAAGACAATCGAACGTAAACAACAAGGCCTAGAAGGTTAGTTCATTTTTAGATTCAGCCTAGGGTAAGCCACACTGATAACAATGAAGTGCCTCATGTTGGATGATAGAAAGCAGTCAGTGTGGCCGGGGGCGGTGGCTCACACCTGTAATCCTAGCACTTTGGGAGGCTGAGGCAGGTGGATTGCTTGAGGTCAGGAGTTTGAGACCAGCCTGGCCAACAGGGTGAAACCCCGTCTCTATTAAGAATACAAAAATTAGCCAGATGTGGTGGCACACACCTGTATTCCTACCTACTCAGGAGGCTGAGGCAGGAGAATCACTTGAAGCCGGGAGGCACAGATTGCAGTGAGCTGAGATCGTGCCACTGCACTCCAGCCTGGGCAACAGAAAGAAACTGTCTCAAAAAAGAAAAAAGAAAAAGAAAACAATCTGAATGCTACCATTTTATAATAAAATCGTCTGGAAAGTGAGATTCCCAGATGAGTAAAGAATTACTAGCCAAAGTAGATGTAGATATGTTAATAGATTTAAACATTTCATAAGTACGTGATTTTTTAAAAACTCTCTTAAATAATTATAGAGTCACAAGTATGTAGTTTTGATGCTTTGTGAAATTTCTGTTTCTGGGTGTCTCAAGATGCCAACATTGTCACTTCAAAGTCAAAATTTAAAACAAACTGCTAACATTTTGATGCAACTTCCCTTAAGCACATGGACACTCTAGTATAGGCGTCCCCAAACTTTTTACACAGGGGACCAGTTCACTGTCCCTCAGATTGTTGGAGGGCCACCACATACTGTGCTTCTCTCACTGACCACCAGTGAAAGAGGTGCCCCTTTCTGAAGTGCGGCGGGGGGCCGGATAAATGGCCTCAGGGGGCCGCATGCGGCCGCGGGCAGGCCGTAGTTTGAGGACACCTGCTCTAGTAGGTTGAGTTTTCTGGCTTCAGAAACCTTAGTAAGCAGATTGTTAGGATTATGTTTAAGACTTGTTAATGAAAACATCTTAAGCAATTGACTGCTAGCTCCCTTTTTCTCTAGAATGAGAGAGTCTTCCTAGCAGAGGTTCTTTATCTTGATTCTTTGGATAAGCTTCAGGCAGTCCATTTCCACCTGAAAAATACATGCTTAATTGTGTAAGATACACATTTGGAGAAGGCAGGGTTTAGGGTCAGGGACAAGAAGCATGTGGCCCAAAAAGAGGGTAGGAGCCTCTGCTTTAGAGTATCCAAAACATAGAGTTGAAATGTTGATGCAAAGCAAAACAGTTAATGAAATGTTTGTCCATGTTACATATCATGTAGGAAGAGCTAATGACATTGATCATCCAAGGAATAGTTTTCTGTGTCTTTGTCACAAAAGGGAGTCATCCTGACTCATGAATATAATTATACTAAATATTCTAAGTGGTGTTATTGAATTTATTTATTCTAACATAAAGTTGGGAGCTTTCTCTGTTTTTTTATATTTTTTAAAATGTCCCCCTTTAATCTCTTGTTTTTTTGAAAGCCTAAAGATGCCAGGTAACAAATATTGCACTCCAGAATCATCACCATTTTTATATAACTTTATAAATAGTTTCTTCTACATTTATTATGACCGTATGAATTAGCTCAGTATCATTGCTCTGATAGAAATAACTGATTGAATATTGTTCAAAAATTACGCGCAGCATTCTGCCTCATTAATGTAGCACCGTTGATGAGGCTTCATAATTCTTTTCATCTGGCCGTGCAGTACATTTTGGTTTCCTAATGCTAGCAAAAGCTACATGCAACATATCGTTTGCCTGCACTGCCAGTAGCTGTGATCCTTTGTAACCCTATATATAAAGTAACTATTAGCAGCCAGAAATGTTAACACATTAACCTCCTCTTACTGTATAATTACGGATGTATGGGATAACTGTTAGCATGCTCAGCTCACTGCTGAAGAATTTATCATCTCTGTGTATGCAAGCATTTGATAGATGCGCTAACCTCTCTAAAATCGTATGCTGCTTGTTTTGTTTTGCATGGCTTTTAACCAAACTCTTATCCAACAGATGCTGAGCAGGAATTACTCTCAGATGACGCTTCATCTGTTTCACAAATTCAGTCTCAAACTCAGTCACCGCAAAATGTCCCTGAAAAATTAGAAGGTACTCAATGTAATTCCCTATATAGCATTCACTGAGTTAGTCTTGAATCTGCCCCTCTGTGATTTGTTTTCATATGAGAAAGTTGAACACCTCATCACAGTAAGTTTTCCATAGATTTTACTTAAATCTCCCAATAATTACATATTTTATATAATTAAAAATGGAGCACTACTTTTGTTCAGCGTTTATATTCATTTACCTTAATCTGAATTTTTGGCAACCCATAGTTCTTAAGAATTTGTGAAATTAAAATAAACATCTCTCAGTTAGCACCATGAAATCTTTTTCAGTATTGATTGCCAAATGATCCCAAAATTGAAGAAGAATATGTTGTCTTACTCATTTATGCTGACTTGATTTATAATGAAACTGTCATTTCATCAAACTGAGATTACATAGCTTTTGCTCTTTGGTTTAACAACTTTGTTCCTTTCCCCTTTATATCATTAAAGAAAATTAGCTTCATGCTATTGTATCACAGTGTATTAAAATAATGATCTGTCTTCATTAGAAATAAAGTAATACCTTATTACATTGCTAAAACATTTCAGTTTTGTAAAGTAAAGCAAAAATGTTAAGTATGTAAAATAACCCCTCAAAAACCCTCACCTTTTGTAGAAAACCATGAGCTGTTTTCCAAGAGCTTCATCTCCATGGAAGTGCCTGTCATGGTAGTAAATGGCAAAGATGATATGCATGATGTTGAAGATGAGCTTGCTAAGCGAGTGAGTAGGTTAACTACAAGTACAACCATAGAAAACATCGAGATTACCATTAAGTCTCCAGAGAAAATTGAAGAAGTCCTGTCACCTGAAGGCTCACCTTCAAAATCACCATCCAAGAAAAAGAAGAAATTCCGCACTCCTTCTTTTCTGAAAAAGAACAAAAAAAAGGAGAAAGTTGAGGCCTAAATAAAGTCTTTCTATCATTACTATTATAACAATGTGACATTGCACATTTAATTACCACATTTAAGTTGATCATTAATACACAATGGTAGATCAGATTGGGGGATGTAACAAACTGGACCTTTAAGAACTGGAAAGAGGTTTTACAAGAACAAAACTTTCAGATTCATCTCTCATTTTATATGTCCAAAAATGGCTTTGAATTTTAAGCAGTTACTAGTTTTAATTAGCTCTGCCCTCATAAAGTGTTATTATAATTCACCGTAACCAGTTATCTGTCTGAATTACTTCAGGCCTTCTCCATAATATCTGTTAGAAAGAAATTGCCAATGAGCAAGTGAGAATTTTTATTTCTCAATTTCTGCTTCACTTGGTAATCAGATTATAATTTTTTATCATTATTGACTATATTTTTGGGGTCCCCATTGTTTCAATGGGCATTAACAGAATGCTTTAAAACTTCTAAGACAAGAGTCTATAGCATTAGTATACACTGGCACATAATTTTTTAAAAAGTTTTAAGAAAAGAGTCATTTGGAATTTTATTCACAGTATAAAATTTCCTCACCTGGAGTAACTTTGTTTGCCAAAAAAAGGTTGTTTTAATAAACTATAATTTTTGAAAACTTCCTTTTTTTATTAGTTTAGAAAGCCCCTTATTTTTCAACAAAGGGGATTTTATACACATAACATGGGTTATTTAGTTTAACTCTGGCAAAAAACAATTTTTGTATGTTGATGTTTGTATACCATTCAGTATAAAAGTGTCCTAAGCATATTAGCCAATCTTTTCACAGTAGAGCATACTTAAGACTGCTTGGTACTGAGCATACTTAGATATAATTAATGAATCCAGAGACTTGGTGTCAAAAGGGGATCAGAGCATATAAAGGTACATCTAGATTCATATTTGAATCTTACACTGTATTTTTATCTTAGTATTGCTAATGAATAAAGAAAAGTCTCATAAGGTAGCCAAATGAAAAAGAATGAAAGGGAAAGTGAAAAGTTAAGGGAACAAAACATGGGATGTGAAAAAAAGAATTCTAGTTTGATAGTGACTCATATTCACAGTAGGCTACAAAGTATGTTTGTTGGAAACATGTCCCAAATCCGTAAAATTCTGCTTTTCTGCCAAAAGTAATGTCTTTCTTGGTTAATATTTGAGTTTTAAAAAGGTCAACTCTTTCTAACCTTGTGTATCTTTAGAGGGCAGCACTAGAAGAAATCAGCAGGTCTAATCCCACCAGGAAGAAAACTACCACTTCTTGATTTTTATAGATTTTTAAAAAAATCTTTTCAGTTAACTTTCTTTTTAATGTAAATACAAATTTAAACCTAGGCTTAAGGTAGGCTTTTCCCCTTTCACCCAAGTGATGTCACAAATCGATCCAAAATCAATGATCCAGAATGATCCATGGGTAAAAATAACCCAAAGTGTTTCTTGAGGGTGAGTTGGCATGCAAAAAATTACATTGATTACAGTGTGTTTTGGAGCTGGTTCTGTTTGACTGTGTGCATATGATAATGCAGAGTTGAGCCAGAGCCTGGAAATGTCATTCTAGATCTCACTAACTACTGGACTCAGTGTTTTAATCTCTTGGTGGAAATTTTCAGTTGCTTCACTCTGTATTGGAGGGTTTTTTTGTTCTACATCATTTATGTTGTATTACAATGTATGTAGAAACAGTAACCTGTGAACTATGCTTTTCCATAACTTTAAAAATATATATATATCTAAATGAATGCAATGTGCATAAATATTTTTTAAACACAACAGTGAACTATTGCACCTTTTGCTAATGCCTCTATTTACTTGCTTTGGCATAAAGAATGAGCCAATGAACCTCTGTGTCCTGTGGAGAAATGTATAAATGTTATCTGATATTGCTCTTAGATGTAATGCTAATTAATGTTAAATCACAAATAAACAGTATTTTAAATATATGGACTTGGTATTATGAAGTTTCCATTACGGTTGGTTACTTAGCCTATTTGTGCCTCAGTCTCCCGAGTAGCTGGGACTACAGACGCCCGCCAACATGTCTGGCCAACCTTTCGTATATTTTTGGTAGAGACGGGGCCTCATCATGTTGGCCAGATTGGTCTCGAACCCTTCACCTCAGGTGGTCTACCCACCTAGGCCCTCCACATTGCTGGGATTACAGGTGTGAGCCACCACGGCGGGCCGCCATGACCTTTTCTTTGGTGCAAGTTTGGCTTTGGGAAGTGCTTTGGAGCTCTTTGGTCCAATCACTGAGCAGATTGTTACTGGTTGTCTGTAAAATTCACTTTTCATCACAATCTGGTCAAGAAATGATTTGTTGTTACTGCATAGAATAAGAAAAGATGACACTTCAATACAATAATTTTTTTTCACTCAGCTCATGTGGCACCCACTTAGGGAGATTTTTACCTTTCTAATTTGCTTCAAATGCAAATGACCGTATACTGGTTGATGCTGAATTCTTTGGCAACTTCTCTTCTTAAGTGAAACTTTAGTTATTGACACTTCTCAATAAAGAATATCCTGGTAAATATATTTTCAAACTAGTTGAAAATTATATCCCTATACAAAACCTGTCTTGTTTCAGCCTATGTTGGAGGAGATACTCCCAAGAGACCTATTTTTTGTCTTGATAATAGGGTATGGTGGCCTCTTTCAGTGTAAGATACATGTCGCAGGATATGTACCTCTCTCTTATTCTTAATTCATTTGTTGTACAAGTAATGTACAACAGTAAGGAAAACAGAAAGAGTAAAAAATAGTTCACAATTTCACCACATTCACTGTTCTTCCTTTTTGTTGATGTTGTTGTTTTTTGAGACGGAGTCTCACTCTTGCCCAATATGGAGTCCAGTGGCACAAACTTGGCTCACTGCAACCTCTATCTCCCAGGTTTAAGCGATTCTCCTTCCTCAGCCTGTTGAGTAGCTGGGATTACAGGCATGTGCCACCATGCTCAGCTAATTTTTATATTTTTAGTAGAGACGGGGTTTTGCCATGTTGGTCAGGCTGGTCCTGGACTCCTGACCTCAAGCAATCCACCCACCTCGGCCTCCCAAAGTGTCGGGATTACAGGCATGAGCCACTGCACCCAGCCTTTTTGAGACAGGGTCGCCCAGGCTGGAGTGCAGTGGCGTGATCATAGCTCACTGCAACCTCAGACTCCTGGGCTCAAGTGATTATCCTGCCTTAGCCTCCCAAGTATATTGGACTACAGGCAATCACCACCATACCCAGCTATTTTTTATTTTTGTAGAGACAGGGTCTCACCTAGTTATCCTGGATTCAGGTGATGCTCCTGCCTCAGCCTTTCAAATTATTAGAATTACAGACGTGAGCCACCGCACCTGGCCCATATTCACATTTTAAAAATTATATTTCCTTCCAGCTGTTATCTAATTAAATATGTGTTTTTTATATATTAATCATGGTGTGAATATAGTTTGTATTCTGGGTTTTTTTTTCTACTTTGCCCATCTACAAGATTTTCAAACGAAATTTTTCATATGAACAATTGTGATTACTTTTCTACTTTGTTCTAAAAATACAGTACAAGAGAAGGAAAACGTGTTAATTGAGGGCTCTGGTTAATTGAAGTTTTTACTATAATTACTCACTATAAAAATGAAGGGTTTGGTCAGAGAAGAAGTCATAGTCTTGGGCATATTTAATTATTACCTTGGCTTGTAAATAACCCTGTGGTTAAAAAAAATGCTGTTTTAGAAAGATACTTATTTAAAAATTCCCTTTCATAAAACAACAAAGACGATTCTCTTCAGTTCTCACTTGAGGGTGAATATAGCACATAAGTCAGCATGTGCCTTTTCTTCCATTGATTAGTATTTTCATTCAGCATGGAATAGAAACCAAATTAATAAAACTTGTAATAGCATTGGCTTCTCTTAACATCAAGCCCCCTTTTTCCCCATATAGGCAGAAGATACAAACATCATTTTTTTCAAACTCATGGGTAGTACTTAAACATCCAAGTTGCAATCTTGACCAAACTGGAATTTTAAAAAGAAGTCTTGTTTGTGGCCACTAGAGGGCGTAACAGACCGAACAATCCAATGTTTCCAGTCCTTGCACTCAACTTCCCTTTTCTTAGTCTGTAGGCACCATGTTTGTTGTGAAATACCCAGAACTTAGAAGGCATTTCCTTTGTTGCTTATTCTCCTCACTCGGTTGTTCTCGACTTTGTTTTCTTAGCAGGTCCCATTACAGCTATCACTTACAGTGGAGAACATATGGAAAATTGTGGCGAGCTCTCAGAGGCTGTGAGGATGTGATGCCTCAGAGTTTTCATACCTGTGAGTGGAAAGATAATGCCTCCTTCAATAATTGACATTTTTTTTTAAACTCAGGAGCTAACCGAGAATATCTTTTGTTGGTGCCTTCTATGTACCAAACACTAGGCTAAGTGCTTTTCATATATGACTTCATTTGGCCTTCCCAGTATCCCAACAAAGTAGATGATATTATCCCCATTTTGTAGATGATGAAACTAAGGCTTGTAAAAGATGAAAAGTAGGTGACAAAATTCTACCCACAGAGATTGACTTCTGTAATTACGCATGCCATCTATGTGCTGAAGCCTGTGTGGTTGCAGTACATTTTTGTGGTTTTTAGAAGAGGCAGTCCTCTTAGTTTGGACCGTAAGTCAGGCCCTGGTGAACTTGTATTTTGATGTAAGTATATTTGTGATCAAACACTGACTTTTAATTTGAAAGGCTTTTTTCCATAACAAATCTCCTCAAGATGAAGAAACTAGTGGACACTTGAAAAGCAGGAATGACCTGTGGTGATGGCATCCTTTAGGATAAAGAACCAGCTCTGAAATCTTCACCATGCCACCTGGAAGACAAGGTATCATACATTTGCTTAAGATACAGCAGAGACTGGAAGCTCTTTATCTTTTTCTTCTTGATTTCCATTATTCAGAAAAGGAGAGACATTCTAAGGAAAATCTTTTTGAAACCAGAAAAGGTAGCTTGATCTAGTTACAGAAGTCATTTTAAAGATCAGAAATATACTTGTATCTATAATTTTATTTAAATGCATGTAATTGAAGACGGTCTGTCTTGGAGAAAAACCTAATGGTATTAGCCTTTGGAGGAAACTTTTGACGGGAAAAAACCCTGAATTTGCATACTCAATTTTCAAAGGGATTTCATTTCTAAGAGCTGACCATTAGGGGGCAATACTGGATCCAAATTTAGTTTTCGTTTATTGAGGGAACTCCTTCAAAATACCTTTGGGCTTGATTTAGAACTCTATTTTGATTATAATTGCTAGGTGCAGTCTCAGGTTGAGGGAAGGTTACAGATGCCAAATTTCTTGATTTGTTCCTTACAGCCGGGTTATCTTATTCTGACGTTCTAAGAATTATCCTTCCGAGAGCTGGTGCTTACCTAACGCCATACATTTCATAGGGGGCTAAGCCTGGATTCAGGGAAAGGTCTACCGGTCTGCGTTTCATGGTTTTCTACGCCACAGTTTTCACTGGAAATCCATCAGGGCATAACCTAGGAATAGGTAAAGCAGACAATAGATACATTTTTTAAAGTTTACTATAAATTATGTTTAGAACTTAATTATGGAAATGGTTTGGAGAAACACATTGCATGACCAAGCCTGTTTACTATTTCTCAATTATTCTTTGCTAAAATTTCAAGTCGTTAGATGCTCCATGAGTCTTTGGAGTATTATCTCAAGTTGCTGACTTCTTTACTGTTGGAACCTCTAATAATTTAAATGCCATTTATACTTCAAATGACAAACTGGCACATTTTGATATTCCTTCTATAGAAAAAAAATTTAGCAGAAACAGATGGATATACATTTAGTTCACAATACCTTTTTATTGAACAAAAAGTTTAATATGAAAATATACATGACCCAGTTTTTGTATCACAGTAAAATAGGCCTTTTGGAGAGAGGACGTGGATTTCTCTGCAAAACAGCCTTGATTTATACTCATCCCAAGGCTTCTAGCTGATACAATTTCCTCATATCATCATAAGTAATATCATTTTCTTACCCACTAGTTGCCATGTCCACACACCCATCAATCACAAGATTCATAAGGGGATCAGATCCCTGCAATATTCCTTAGACATGTCGGCCACCAGTTAAATTCAACAATAATTTCTTGTCTATAAATTTGTTCAACTCAGGAAGGAGAGCCTTGCTCATGGTGTCAACTGCATGGACTCAGAGCTGCTGTGACAGAGACTTTTCACCCTCCTGCATGCTCCCGAAGTAGACCTGGCCCACGGTTATTTTTAAGGCTGGTGTAATTTCTGGTTGGGTAAGTCTTTATACTGAAACTGTGGTGAAGGTTATTAAGTTGCCTTTTTGTTTCTAGATTTTATTTTTACACAAACTAGTATTTGGCCTTCTCCAGAGCCTGTCCTGACCTTGCTTCTGATGGTAAGAAAAGCTCTCTAGTGCTGTGTGACCGCTGTCACTAGGCAAAATACTTGCCCCTGGCTAAACAACATGCCTTAATAGCACTGATTTCATTCATCTAATTTGTGTATTGAAGAAAGAATATTACATTACTAAGACATTGTAGGAATTTTTTAAAAAACATGTTTGTGAAATGGTGGAATCAATATGTAGTACAAACGTGTAGCACAAGATGAAAGAGCTGATAGACAAGATTTTCCCTCATTGTCTCTGTTAGACTTACACTCAAAAAGCTGGTAAATATGTGAGTCCGGTAGAAAGGCCACTGCAGAGTGTTAATAGGACTTCTTGGACCAAACAGTGTCCCTTCAGATTGATAACTAGACTTGAAATTTTTAAGAAAAACTTGGATTTTCCAAAGCAGTGTAACATATCCTAGCAGATAGGGATGGAAATGAGGAAATGCTACAGTTATAAAATACAGGCTTTATTTTTTTTTTCTTTGAGACAGAGTCTCGCTCTGTCACAC